ATTTCCTGGCTGCTGGTGCCACAATAGGTAAAAAGCTTAAAAAGTAGATCTCTTTCAATCTCAGATTCCACTCTAAGCAGTTATACTAAAAGGTGAACCAGTGCTGATAGTGTAAAATAAGTATGTTCTCTTTGGCGTGATTTAGATTAGGAAAATAGTGAAAACAATCTAATTAATCCTTTATTAATATGGGAAAACTGGGTGAAAATTCAACATAGTATATTACAATATTAGAATCTTATTCAGTCCTTAAAAAGAGGTAGTAATAATATTAAAGGAAAATTTTTGTTGTTGTTAGATGCCTTTGAGTCTAATATGAATCATAGTGTGCCACACCAACTCCACGGGAGTCTGCGTGACAAAATCACCTGATTGAGGTGAAAACTTCAAGGAAGTCAGCCTCTTGGAACATGTGCTTTCTCCGTGATGGTTCTTGGCCTTTCTGTAATTTCTCTTCTATTGTCTCTTTGTGTTTTCTATGTGGGACAGGGAAAAAAAAAGGCACAAAGTGTTCCTACTAAAAGTTTGTTAGATGTTCCCAGAAAGAACTAAATGGAGGTGACATCTTTGATACGCAAACATTACCTCCGGTTCTTTTAGCATTCTTCTCAAGAATAATATGATTTTAAGGGAATTCATGGATCCTTTATAACAAAAAGAATTAATGGTGGAAATCCCAGAGATGACTACTCCAGAGATTCCTAGATTTCTAGGGCTTATAAGAACTCCTTCAAAGGAAAAACCCAAACCCTTGCCCCCCACCATGAGAACACCAGGTGGAAGAATTGTTTATGTGTTAGGTAATGGTTGTTTGTGGCAGCCCCCTATTGGGAGAGGCCCTTACAGAATTCCAGAGCCTACAGATAAACCTCTTCCATATACTGGAAAATATGATGAATTTAATGCAAAACACCCTGATGGTTTTGGGGATATGTTTTCCAAAAGGTTTGAAAGTGACCAGAGGGAAGATGTTATGAAAGGTATAAGTGGTAAAATAAATCATGAAACATGAGATTGGAATGATGAATTTAGGCAATATTATGACCCAAAACATCTTTTGTATAAACTTAAACCCCCTTATTGAGATAGTGATCACCCGGAATAATGGAAAGTGTAAAAGTGTTGTCTTTTGAATGGAAATAAATAATATTGTACATGCAGCTAAAAATGTAAAATCTATCAGCTTAAATTTAAAATGTAACTTTTTTACTTTGTAACCCAAGCAAGTTGGAGAACAGGTTTAAAAACTGGTTTAAAAAAATATTTAAGTGAAAAACCATTGTCTACCAAGCTCTCCAATTACCAAGGAACCATGACCATAAAAAAATAGCTATCTGCAAAAAAATAATGTAAACTTTATTCTTACTTTTGTTGTCTTTTTGACTGTTGATTAAGCCCCTAATTGTAAAAATGGAATATAAATGTATCATGTTAAATGCAATAAGCAAGGAAGGAAAGAAGGGAAAAAAGAAGGAAGAAGAATGAGAATTAGAATGACTTAGAATTAAAATCATCAAGATCACTTGACTGTTTGTCTTGTGTTCTTTCATCGTCCCTTCGCCGAACTTCTACCCACCTTCGTGTTCCGTCTTCCAGACCCTAGACCTCAGGCTTACAAGCCCCTCCTGACTGGAGCAGCCCGCGGCAGTAGTGACCCTATGAAAAATAGATCTGACACCAGCCCTATCCTGTGCCGTCCTCACAGTTGCTGACATGTTTGAGCCCATTGCCCCAGTCTCTGTGTCAGCTCATCTGGTTGAGAGTCTTCCTCTCCTTCACTGACCCTACATCTTTCCAAGCATGATGTCCTTCAAGGATGAACCACCTCTCTTATCAACATGCCCAAAGTATATGAGATGAAGCTTTACTGTCTTTGCTTCCTAGGAGCACTGTGACTGCACCCTCCGCAAAACATCTCTGTTCTTTTTGCAATCCACGGGATGTTCAGTGCCCTTCTCCCAACACCACAGCTCAAAGACATCAATTCTTCCTCTGTCATCCCTGTTCATTGTCCAGCTCTCAGATGCATGTCAAGTAATTGAAAAGACCAAGTTCTAAAATGAGATGTTTGGAACAGAGAGAAATAGTTATTTGTATATTTGCATAAAACAAATCCTGGAGGGTTATAACCCTAAAAGGTAGAAATACAATTGTTTTACATTTTGGTTTTGTAATTTTCTGTATTTTCAGAATTTCTTTATATTTAGCATGAAAAACAAAGGTGTCTATATTTTTGAAAGTAAGTAGTTAAGAAGAAAATAATTTTGGATTCTAGTGAAGAGAGTGGATGAACTGTGTCAGTATATTGTAGTTCCTTGGACACACATTCCTAATTTTCTAACAGTTGTTAATATGCAGAAGACTATTTTTAATATTTATTTTGATGTGTATTTCCAATAGCTTAGACATTTGTATTTTAATCGGATAATATCTTACCTGGACAAGTTAAGTTTGAACTCTAGGTACAAATGACATTTATACTCTTATCAGAAACAAAAAGAAGGGAAAGTGTGCATATGTGTGTGCATACACTCATATATAATTTGTAGAGTGATTCTTAACCCATTATACAGAGCTAGGTAGATGATAATGATGTAACATCTTTTAAGCAACAGATTGTATATGTTTGTGTATTGATGTAATAAGGCTTGTGGGAGAAAATTATCTCTCCAAGCAATCAAGTAGAATCAAAGATACATTGTTAATACTCCTCCTCTTCTACCCTGGCCAGTAGGTTTCCTGATATTTTCATAAAAACACTGTAGGTGAAAGATAGGGATAGCATATATATACAGTTGATAGAAGTATGAACAAAGTGCAGAGTTGTTACAAAGAAAATGTAATGAATTCTAGTGTGAATTCAGAGGCCATCAAAGGAAGTATAACAGAGAATGTGGTATCTAAACTGAGATTGTAGTTGTTGTGAACTATGGAGTCAGGACTGACCCATAGCTGACCCTCCAATAGGTTTTCACAGGCAGTTAATTGCACAGGAGGAGATTACCCATCCTTCTCCCATTGGAGCAGCTGGTAGATTAGAACCTTTGGGATTTCAGCTCAGTTTCTTACCACTAAGCCACCAGAGCTCCTGAAACTGAGTTTAGGAAGGATAAAGAAGCCCTTTACAATTAGACAAAGAAAACTCTGAATCATTGTTTCATTTTCATTTAGTATTGTTATGGTTGAAGATTCAGTTTCTTTTTTTTCCACAGGTGTTGGGGTTGATGACATGTTTATCATGATTTCAGCCTGGCAGAGGACCAGCCTCATGGACAGTGTAAAACA